GGGACAAAAAAAAAAAGGAGGTCAAAAACAACCACATGAATTTCAGAGAAACTGAATAAAATATTTCCACAGCAATATGCCATCTTGCTTACCTAAAATTCCCATAGAAATTTCTCATTTAAAAAAAATAAAAATCAGTTCTATACTGTGTTCTTTCAGGTTCTGAAAGTATACTACAAAGTTTTCTCTGTGTATTCAATTGAGAGTAGAAATTTCATATGAATCACTATTTCATGTCAGAATATATAAAGAGGAAATAAGAACAAGGAATGTTATAAAGATCAAAGAAAAATGAATTTAACAGCTACATTAACCATTAAGTTGGTTCAGTGATTAAGTTTATTGTTCTTTTTGTTTTACAAAGAAATGTGGTATGTTACCAGATTTATCATTACCATGCAGTTTGTGGGGAATACAGGTGGATGTCATAGAATTGTGGAAATGGCATGTTGACACAAAAGAGGATTTTTATTGAAGTGTAGTACCAAACCATCACACCAATTCCAAAATTGGAACTAATTTGAGAGAGCAATTAAATTTTATGTGGATTTGGAATCATATCAGCTTGTTTTTTTCCAACTGCTTTATTATGTCTTCAAGAGACAAGATTTTTTTAAAGAATCCATTAAAAATTCATCAATTGCAATTGTTCTTTTTACCTTGATAATTCCTTGATCATTTACTGTTCCACATATGTCTCTTTCTTTCTCACACTGTCACACACACACACACACACACACACACACACACACACACACACACTCACATATATACCCACTCCTTCAAGAAACAAGCTACTTTGATATTTCTGAATTCGTTTCACTTGCAGTACTAGCCCCATTTGCCCTGAATATTCTAATCCTAATGATTTGGGCAAGTCAATCCTTTGGCTTTAGTGGGAGGGTGATTCTCATTGGCTTTCAAAAAAGCAATACAAAGATGTGGGCCCTTTCCATGTCATGCGAAGGCACCATATCAGAGAGCAATTTGTCATTGATGTGCTGTCTAGTTAACACTGTGGGGATTGCCATTTAAGAGTGAAGTAAAGTGGGGTAACTGACATCTGCTTATACCCTCACCTATATGCGACTGGTACATGATGAGGGATATAGTGCCCCGGATTAGCAGCTGCAGTATTTTCACTAGTTGAGTTATGTGTGCTAATACTTGCTGTAGTTCTAACTACCTAATTCTGAGCCTAGTCCTCCATCATCATCACTGATTATGGAGTTAACCTCTACCCATTAAATGAATGTCTTTTGTTCTTAAATTAAAACAAAACAAACAGCCAACAACAATAACAACACACACACACACACACAAAAAAAAAAAAAACAGAAGTATCCAAGTAGTGAAGAGATAGAGGGGATTAACATTTAAACACTTTATACTCAGACCTGGGTTCAAGTATTGCTGCTGTCTTCACTGAACCCCTTGTCTGATTTGCACAGTAGACTCAATAATACTGCAGAGAACTGAACTTGGCATTAGAAAGTGATCAGTACCTCTAGATTCTTGTTACTGGCTTAGAGAATTCAAGGTTGCATGTGGAATTGATGATTATATCCTTCGGTTCATAAAGTGCAATTTATTTGATTCTGATGCTGTGTTTTCCCCAGACAATTAAGCCAATTCACTAAGGGGCATTCACAAATAAAGAGACTGATGATCCTTGTAAACTAGGAACACCAATATGAATTTAAAGTTTGTATCTTAACAGCTGTCATGCCAAGTCCTACTTTCAAAGTTTCCTGCAACCAATAAGTAACTCTGATGACTGTTCACCTCCTCTGCTTTTCATAGCTCTGTTTTCAATCTCAGGCTGCACCTTCCTAGTACCTTTTCTCTCTACTCATGTGCCTTATTTATAGACATTTTACAAACTATCCTTCAGCATTCCCCTCATGGAAGCTTCAGGAAACTGCCCTTGGTGTAAGGAGTTTGGTCACTTGGGCTCTTTAGTCTCTCACCACATTCAGTTGCCTGGTTCAAGGTACAACGCAAACTGAGGTGCACAGTTAATAGTAGCTCCTAGTTTGCTGGAACATGGAAACTTCACTTTAAGGCTAAGTTCTTAATGTTTATGCTCTAAATGGCTCTCTGGGATTACTGAGGTGGTATCATACATAGATGCTGTCCTAGGACAACTCATACATTTGGTGGTTTTGAACGTTGTCCCAAAAGTGACACTCAGGGTTGCTAGATTTAGTCAACAAAATGCAGGACACACAATTAAATTTGAATTTCAGACAAGAATTGTTTTTTAGTATAAGGCTATTCTATACAATATTTGGTAATCGCATAATACAAAAGTGGAGGTGACAGACCATAGGGTACAGTCCTCTAGAGCTTTGTCATTTGCACAGGATCCTCTGCAGATATGCTGAAGGAGCACTACAGGATAATCAGCCTGCAGAGCCTCTCCTCACAGCAACTTCCACAGCAACAAGACCACAGTGCTGGTTGCTTAGGAATTGAAATACACACTGGCTGTTTGATATGGTGACATAAGAAGACATATGGATCTGGTCTTCATCTTTGGTGTCTGGCCAGAGCTCTTAAAATTATTTTATGTGATAAATGATAGGAGCATCTTTTGTAATAATATTTGAGTTTTGGCCCCAGCTCCTAAAACAGCTCAGGAGTGATATAATGAAAGGAGCAAGTCCCTTTTAATGACACCTGAGTTTATATTAATTTTGGAAAGCCTCTAAGGATAGGAGATTGGTTTCCAGGGAAACTAACTATGTGACTGGAGGACTAGAGGTTGCAGCCTCATCCCTGACCTCCAGAGAAGGTAAAGGGGCTGAGGTTGAGTTCATCACCAATAGCCAATTACTTGACCAATCAGGCCTACATGATAAGGTCTCTACAGAAAAAAAAAATGGAAGGAGTTCTGTGTCCACAGGGACCCTTCCAGACCTCACCTGTGTGTCTCTTCTCCCTGAAATTCATTTTTATTCTTTAAAAATATCATTTATAATAGATAGGTCATGTCCAAGGTCAAAGTCCAAGTGTTAACAATCCAAAGAAACTACTTCCTCCAATTTTTAAAAATTATAACTAATGGAAAACTAAGAAACATAAATGCACATTTATTTTTATTGTATATTAAACAAACTTACATATTTAGCATATAAAGACATATGTATACATGTATTACACATGCATTGTACATGTATAGATAATGCATACTTACAATATGTGATATATGACATATATATATAATACATACATACATATATATATATATAAAATAGGCTTTTTATGTAGTGATATGTATCAAAAGCCTAAAAATATTTATACAAAATCATTTGCCTCCAGAAATTTATTATAAGGAAATAGTTTAAATATTGAAGAAAGTATGGCTATAGTATTTGTTTCCAAACAGTAGTACTACTCTAGAATTGAAACAACTTCAACATCCAATAATGAAAAACATGATTAAATTTTGGCACACCATTAAGTGGAATATTATTCAATCACTTAAATAACATCTATAAAGATGTTATAAATCATGGGTAGGCAATGTAAAAGTAATTGGTTATAAAAGAAAAAAAGTTATAAAATAGTAGACTTATAATTTTAAAAAGCTTTATTGAAAATACATTATCCAAATGTATCACATTTTCAGCTGTGGAGACTATGGGTTAATATCTTTTTTTCTAATGTATGTACATGTTTCTAATTGTCTATAAGGATTGTGTATGAGTTTTAGAATTGTAAGAAATTTAGTAAAGTTAAAAAATAATTTCATTCACAAGAATAAAAACTAGGAATACATAGTTTTTTCTTTAAAAAGAAAAGAAACAACAAATAAGAAAAAGAAAGTAGCCTTTCTGTATTCTAGGGCCTCCTTCTCTTTGTCACCAGCTCAATTTAAAGTAATTCACCAATAGATGTCACTGTTACACTTCTTTCTTTAAACACATCTCAAGATGTACAACTTGACTTTTCAGGTAGGGAGGACAAAGACAAGACTTTACAAATCCCCATCACCTGAAGAACTATCAATCTGTCATCTTCTAGCTTTATTCTAAACATCTAGTTATAAAAATATCAACTGCTTTTCTAAAATAATGTGCAGTGACTATGGTTTTATGGTTATGAAAAATACAAGGTTCTCCTATTCACTGGTTACCACCTACATGATGCACCTAACCCAAGAATTTGAAAACCCATGTTGCTGCCTATGTGATCATAAGTCTAACCCGTGCTCATCCTTGCATAGTTCCAGGTTGGAAAGTAATAAACCCGAGAACAAGATTATCAGCAGGGCATTGAAGCTAACAGCAGAAAAAGAAAAACTAAAATGCTTCTTGGATTCCCAGTGCTCACCCCTTCTGCCACAGGAAACTAGGTTGGGGAAAGGAGAGTGGTGAGAACCATGACAGTCTGGTCTATTCTATCAGGCCATCTAAATGTGAAAGTAGCTAAACCCCAGCCCGATGCTTTGTATTAGGGAGTCAATGCTTCTGTGTCAATGAACATACAAATGAATGAGAAAGGAGAAGGCTATGTTTTTTAAATGGGTCATCCTGTATTCGACAGATTTCCTGCCAACCTGTTCACCTGTTATTTGAGCAGCTGGAGAGAAAGAAAGGTTTATAGATGTGCGGGAAGACAGGCTACTTGGGTTTCACTGGAGAATGCAGGGCATACCAGTCAGCTGTCAAGTGTTATTCATAAATTTTTAGTAAAATGATATTAAATGACCATCAGCAAATAAATTTTCCCACAATGAAGTTTAGGCAGCAAAGCTAATGTGAGTACTCTGAAAAAACATTCAGTTAAATTATAAACACAGTCACTTTCTAGTGTACACATTTCAGATCCAAGATACAACTTGGTTTTCTACAACCCAGTGATTCATCAAAATACTGGTCCACCCACAAAATGCAGCTTTGAGAGATTTATATGCAAAATTAATATTAAATGAATGTTAGGTGAACTTGTGTTGACCACAAAGAACCACAACACAAACAAAGATTTCTACTTACATTGAGATCCAAGTGCAATTCGCTTCTGTTTGACTTCTCTCTTTCCTCGTGAAGAAGGAATGGACAGGGTGGGCCTGCTCTGTAGCCCAGGACCCATGCACTTCCATCCCTGGAGGGAAGGTCTTTAGTTGTCTGCTCGTTGAAGCAGTCCCAAGAAAAGCTCTCGGAGGAGTTACCTAAACAAACAGAGAGGATGATCATTGACACAGCCGCCATCCATCCTTCCATATTTGGGGAACTTCTATAAGGGCCTTTTAAGACTCTCTCTTCTCTTTCTAATTTTAGAATCTGCTGTCCTCCAAAAGTGCTTCTACCAATTACTCTTTCTGGACTAACACCAACAGAAAGTTAAAACATGCCCTCACCACAACTTAAAAGGATAAATCTATTAGCTGTACTCTATGCTTACCAACCTGGGCTTCATGATTCATGCTAGGTCAGAAAGAAATCAGGAGGAGCTGCTGTTAACAGAAATCAGAAGGCCTGGGCTATTGGCTTTACTACTAATTGGTGTCACCTGAACCAAGTCACTAGTGCATCTGTTCTTCAGGAGCAGGAACTGTGCCTTGCTTTATGTTTCTGGGGACAGAATCATCATGCATGGTTTGTTGAAAGAGTGAGTGCTGTATGAGTAACCTGTTTGGGACTCACTTCAGTTGTCTCTCAAATTGAGGGTACTAAGTTGGCTCATTCTTACCAAAACTGTCAGAGTGACAATAGTACCAGGCATTGTTCTTAGCTCTGTTCTTCAATTTTTAAAATAACCTATAGTTATGTCATATCATTAGTATTCCCATTTTAGATGGGGAAACTGAAGCACAAAGAAGTTAAACAATGTGCTCCAGATCATAAAATCAGTAAATGGTGAAGCTAGGATTTGAACCCAGACCATTAAACACTAGAGGACATGATCTTAGTGACTACACTACATGGCCTCTGACTGACATTCTCAAGTTGGCAACGTCTGTTCTGCACTAGAAGGACTGTGTGGTCAGAAAAGCCACATGCTGTATCCCTTGGAGAGCAGGATTCATGTTTGCATACTGAAGACCTTGAGAAGTCCTTTGGTAAAGAAACATAACTCTGTATAACAAAGTTTTCCAAACTTATTTGGCCACAGGATTCATTTAAAGGGACATCTGCATAATATGTTGCAGGCCATTTGTATTTTACTGGAACACCGTTTGGGAGAATATTAGATTAGATTGGATCATCTCTAAAGTCCCAGATAGCACTCAAATTCCTAGACCTCTTTTAATGCCTGTGTTCAACCTTGGCAAAATATTAAATAATTAGGTGGAAGTTAAAGATTTAGGCTCAGTGTACTTTTTTGTAGGAGAGATCATTGTTGGACATATGATAGGGTGTTTATTACACATACTTCTGTAAGAGTCTCTTTGGCACTGACCCAAAGACAACCAACAGCTTCCACCACACTTGAGTACCTGACTTACAAGTAATTTGAGCTGAGAATAAGTCAGCATACAAAGGGACTGTGGGATAACATGCTTCTCCCTTTATATTAGAGTAGCATTCTAGAAGAAAGAAAATTTGAAACTAGTAAGGCTTTACTTTTTGTTTGCTTGTTTGGTTCATTGGTTTTTAATCACATTTTCAAGTGAAAGTGATGCAGGTCATAATGTTTCTACAGGTGCCCTGGGAAGCTCTCCACTAACCACTCTGTTGCAGTCACTGAGAAATTAAGAGTACAGGATCTCCTAAGTCTATTCTCACCTCTGTGACATAGGGTGTCTAGAAGGTGAGACCTCTAGAGGGCCACATGCTCTAGAATGAGTGCATTTTCAGCCATGCCCCTTGCTACCTACTGTCTGCAGACAGACGGTTTCCTAAGCTTTCATTTAGGAAGCCACATGTTTTGGAGCAACCCTGTTCCAAAGACAGAAAAAGACTACTGCTTAAAATTATCTCGGGAAGGGGGCAGACTGCTAAGTACCTTCACTTTTTCCTGAGAGGAAGTCAGTGCCAGATGTACTTCAATAGATGAAGAAATTAAAGGTCATACCCCTTTAACATCTATGTATATGATTCATCCCCCTCCTAGGGTATTTCAGTCCATGATTGGCAAGAAAAGAGGAGATACACCTTTTTTGATGTATGATGTGCTTTGACCACACTAACTCACTTCCAAAACATTTAATTACTAATCAGACCCCTCATTTTAAATTCCTTCACTTTTTATTATTTGCTGGTTTTGGACAAGTTCACACATACTAATAAAACAATATAAAACATGATATATACATCACAAAACACAGTGTACAACACCTAAGGTAAGACATCTATATCATCAGAGGCACATTGTCTGGTGAGTTAAGTTCATCATTCAGGTTTGAGAAAGTGGTAAATTCCCATGATAACAAGGGCTTAGATAAACACATGTGCACACACGCAAACATACGCATGCCTCCAGTGGCTATCCAATACTGCAGTAATCAGGGGAGGCATACAATCCAATTCACTCTTCATGCACAGCCAAAACAACGGAAAGTTTAAGAGGAAACAATAAAAACTAACTTGGCCAGGTACGTGGCACACACCTGTAATCCCAGAGGCTCGGGATAATGAAGCAGGACGACTGAAAGTTCAAAGCCAGCCTCAGCAATTTAGTGAGGCCCTAAGCAACTTAGCAAGATCCTGTCTCAAAAAAAAAAAAATAAAAAAAAAAAAGGGGCTGGGAATGTAGTTCAGTGGTTAAGTACCCCTGGGTCCAATTCATAGCACCAAAACAAACAACAACAAAATTAACTTGGATTCTAGAGATGGCCTCAGTTTTAAAGAGCCAATTTCTAATTGCCTAATATTTAACCAGACAATATCCCTATGAAGAAAACATGCAAGGTAAAACCAAGATGCAGAACAATTTTGATAAGGATATTTAGGACAGGAAAGGGCCAAGGGAAGAAACAAGTAACATGAAGGCCATTATTCTCCAAAGTCAGACAAAATCAGTTAGGACACAGGACAAATTCACCTTTCCAAAAATCATTTGTAAAGTCATTTTTTGAATGCAGAGTTTTAATAATGAAAACACAAATATTTTAGTTAAAAATAATGTGTGTCTGTAATTATTGAAATAAGTAGTATCCATGTTACTCTCTTCAGCTGAGTAAACTTGAAAGAGAAAAATTACCTGAAATTAGATAAATATATTCAAAACAGTTAATTGCCATTTAGGTTCTATTACAGATTTTAGAGTGTTAGATTTACAGGAACCTTTTATAAAAAGCTGAAAGTGTCTTTTTTGATTTAATCATGTTTTCTTCTTTAATGTGCAAATTACAAATCTGCTTTATTCAATATTTGTTATTTTGTTCCTCAAAGACATTTCAACAGCTTGATCAATCACACATACACACACAGGTTAATTCAACAGCCAACCATGGTTAATACAACATACAGCACAGATACACAACAGGTAGGTGACTTACCTTGTGACCACTCTGAAAATCTGTGCTCTTTCCAACCATTCAAATGATGAGCTGCACTTCCTGGTGCTAACCTATAACACCAGTCTGGGGTTTGGCTGTCAATTATCAAAGCAATAAAAGCAGACAGAAAGAAAAGGTAATATGCCATTCAAAACAGAGGCAGTATCTATAAACCATCTCTCCAAAATGGAATCAAGCTCTCTACCTGTGGTACACTGGATTACTGCTCAACTTCTTCCCTCCCTCCCTACATTACCATTACGGACTCAAGGCCTTTTCTATTGCCTCTGTAGCTCCTTGCATTGGAGTGAAAGTTGTAGATTTCCCCATATCATGGAAGTTGAGTCTGGTCATATGACTTGTTTTGGTCAACTGAATGTGGGCAATGTGACAGGGCACCAAAGTCATAAAAGGGTGTTTTGACACCCTGATTTGTGCTTCTGCTATCATCATGAGACAGGCATGCCCAGGGGATCCTGGAATTAGAAATGTGCCTAGATACAAATGCAGCCTAGAACCAAGTTCAGCCAAACTCACATTAAGATCAAGTGAACCTCAGTCAATTCTTGGGCCAATAAATGGGAGCAAAAAATAGCTGTTGTAAGCCATTGAGAATTGGGGCCTATTTGTTAAAATAGTTGCCTCATATACTCTATGATCTGCCCCTAACAGCAGATCTATAACTTAAAAAACTTTTAACTTTTTCACTGAGGCCTTGAAGACTATAGAATTTTTATTTTGTAATTTTGTACTGAAACCAATTAATGCATGAGTTTTTGAAAAGTGAAAACTCATGGCACACCCATTTCCTCATTCATACCAAGATCTGTGTACATTTCATTAAAAAACTAATTAACCTTATTTACCAGGCAATACCCTTAATATCTCTCTCTCTCTCTCTCTCTCTCTCTCTCTCTCTCTCTCTCTCTCTCTCTCTCTCTCTCTCTCTCT